GGGGTGAGGGGGTGAGGGGGTGAATGGGGGAAAAGGTGAGGGGAGGAAGCGAGAAACGGAGGGGTGCGGACTATGCTGAAATTTACCACCCAAATGGAAAACAGCATTAAGTTCAACTAACCAGAATCTGCTCCTCTGCTGCCGTCAGATTTGTCAGATCAGCATCCTCCTCAGAACCAATCCCTGCATAAAGGGAGACGAGGTCAACAAAATTTTCCTTGTTTTTCTTTAAGGGGAAAAAAATTGGTCAATAGATAGACTGTGATGCAAACGTCATGTGGACAACCAAAAAAAGAAAAAAAGTGTGTGGCCCTGCGTGGGCTCGGTGACCAAACCCAAACACTCAGTACCAAGCCCGAACGTGACCCAAAATTGACCGAGCCCGAACTTTCAAATACATATAGAGGTTGGGGGGCCCCGGGGGGGGGTTGCCCGTCACTCCTGAACACACACACACACACACACACACACACATATAAACAGTTCGAGAAATAAATAAATACACACACACACACACATACACACACACACACACAAACACACAAATAAATAAATAAATGGATGCACGCACACGCACACCTATGAGTACAAGAGATATTTGAAGAGGGGATGCATATACACGCACATACGCATATTCGTGGGAACCAGCTCGTCGGGAACACACTCCCATACTCACATGACACAAGATACGAAGGACAAAAGGAAGAATGGGAATGATTACCACCCCTATAAGTGAGCCCACATATGCCAAACCGGCGACAACTCACAGAAAGAACCAAGGACACTCGAGTGACCTCTGAGAACACCCATCTACCAGCAAAATCCAGTTACCACATAAGGGACTTAGGAGACTACAAATACAAACTGTGAAAAACATTGTCTTCTGGTTATGGGATCTGATATGACAAATGTGCTACAATGATTCTCTCATGACATTACATCCCTTAATGAACCTGCTTTCGAAATAAGGTGTTAAGGCCCTAACTGGGTCCACCACTAGGCTGTCCGTGGATGAACCCTCCCTTATCCTACGGCTAATAAAAGGTACCGTCTAGGGAGAGCCTCGGTGCTTTCTAGATCAGCACTGCCTAACGATTAGTGCTAATAGATCAAAGGTTACCACAAACACCGACCCTCATCGGTACAGACCACCACCACCTCGACTATTCCAATAAATATCTTGGGTACCCCGGGCTTTCTCATCTATTCTTCCAGTGACTATTGTGATACTCTGAATTGCGTGGTTGAAGAGTGGCTTTTTTTGGACGGAGAGTGCTGCATTCTGCTATGGCTGGCTTGGACTTGGATAACTTTCTATACGCCGACCTTGCGAATGAGCAAAGCGAGGACGAATCGGTCTAGTCTCTTTCCAGTCCCCCATGTTGCCTGTTTTGGATGTGTTGGAAGGATGTGGGCGTGTTGAGTTTATGTTTGCAGGTTCTAATGAAACCCTCTGATGAGCCGAAAGGTGGCAAGCAGCGAAAAAGCTTTTAGGGACGGCCACACCCTGCCTGCTATTACTGCCCGTCTTCCTGTCCTGCGGAACCACTCTCCAATCCAAGGCTGCTTTGTCTGCTTATTTTCCCCACCCCTTGCATCCTGCGTCATGCTCATTGGGACCACACGGGATATGGAGTCATATCATCACCTAGCGGAACTTCTCTGCTGAACCCCCTGGGGAGACCTGTAGTCCACCTCTCTCTTCCTTCCCCCCCTCCTCTCTTTGGGTAGGATAAGATCTCGGCTATCGCTATTAGGGACTGATGAGTTCTTTCTAGTTCTCCCTTCCGCTCTTCCCTCCTCCCCTCCCCTTATCACCCTCTCTCTCTCTCCTCCTTCCCCCCCTCTCACTCTCC